AATTTCATTAGACTTGATAGAAATGGTGGTGGTGGTGTATGTGCTTACATTCGAAGCTGATTATACAAGATGTTTGGATCTAGAAATCCAGTTTTCAGAAATGATAGCGTTGAAAATACCAAAGACATTGCCGATGGGTTCAGTAATCGTTTTACCTAAATTGGTCGAAGTGTTTCTACAGACCTTTCCAGGTCATCCATAAATGTATAAGAGGAAGAGGAGCACGAGCCGTCCTTGTTTTAATTTACTGAAATTAAACCATTAAGGGTCTTTATTTCTTTACTGTACTGTCAAACTGTCACCGAGACGTCAACAAAGCAACCGGCCTGGACCAAATTTACGGTAAAATTCCTTAGCTATTGACAACGAACTTATATATTAAATTTTCTGCTGTTTTCAAAGCAAGTAACTATAAAAATTGTAACTATCTATTAGAGATCTTCATATAAAAATATAATATATAAAAATATAAATATATTGTTCACGGCTTTTGGAAGAACAAACGTGGGAAATATTGTAGTTTTTGATCACAGTTACCGTGGTTAAATTAGCTTTTCTATCTATTCTATTCATCTATCTATTATGGCTAACGCATTCAAATATTCTCTTTGTAATACGTGTAGTATTCAAGTCTTTTGCCTTAACCAACAGACGGGCGTCTCTGAAACATCGATTACCTATCCAGTCTGCTTAGGGCGACAAGAATCAGAGTATCCAGTAGAAGCTGTTGATGCCCTAATGATGATCTTGAAAGAAACGGCACCCAATTGCAACCTTGATTGTTTGGTGGAGGTATGTTGTCCTGCATACTCAGCCTCTCAGTGGGTATCTTGGTTGTAAACATCATTTGTTCATACAATTTTTGAAGGTTTCATGGTTGCATGGTAAATCTTCGGGGTGGGGATGAACAGTGTCGTGGATCTCGATTTGCATGTTTCGTTTACATCACGCATTGAAACGCACAAAAGAAGTGAACTTGTCACATTTCCCATGTCACTTTGTAGCAAATCTAACCGAAGGCCCGAGCCATAGAAATCGAAGGCAGGACAGTTTGATGAAGCAAAAAGGGTCTGACCTTACGAATTGCTTTCCTTGATGAATTTTTTGGACTTCGTTTAACCCATACGTTTCCGGTGAGGTCGCGAGATGACCTTTCCCGCGAATTTCAATAGCCTCTTTCTCACGGCACTCGACAGGGGAGTTCAATATTGCCTTTTATTGGTTGGCGGCATGACCGCATTGACACGCTCTTAAATGAGGTGCGAAAACTGGGAATTTCTTTGGAGGCCAAAAACCCGAGGTTTGTTTTTACGCTAGTTACCTAAACCTGAACGAATTAATAGGGTATGTATTTTTGTCGGATTTTGATGAAACGTAGCCAGGATATTTGCCAGATATAAACGCACAAAATCATGTGAGGCTTTAATGGAATTTGAGATATCTTTCCTGTGAATTCCCGGCGGGTGACAACGCAATTTTGTATTGTCCAACTTTAAAATAGATTTCCTCGGGAACCAATCGGAATATCGAAAAAGCCCCACACCGTTTTTTAGCTTATTATCTGCTGAGTGATACAATCCAGTTTGTTGGGATGTTCGTGGTAACGCAAAGGCTTTTTCCGGAGGGCACCCTTTTCTGTTGGCGGTGACCTTAATCTTTATTCAGATTTCTAACGATTCGTGCGCATTGTTATGCTGCTGGTTGGTTTCGTATGAGAAAAAGCTAAGTAACTCAGAGTTAATCACTATATCGACTTCACAATGATTAGAAGATTACTTAGAAACCTAGTATTGTGTTTTTTTTCGAACATTTTAGAGGCACTTTTCTTTTTTTTTATCATTATCTTCCGATTAACAACAGCACTTAGGTACGAGACGAGCTCGCAGTCGTAATCTTATTTTCAATCCAAGCCAATATATATCGTACTTTTCCTGCCCTTTCTCCTCTCCATTTTGTCTTATGCATCATTCTCCATGGGAAAAGGGGAGGAAGGATGAATGTTGATGTCAGGTCGGAAGAAAGATTGTTCACGGTACTAGTATCGGTAATAACATGATTTCGAGTGTAGTTTTGTGTTAATAATTTGCATGGAAAAAGCATCTTAGAAAGTCAAGACAGAGGATTTGTTGACAGCGCGCGCGCTATTTGTAATTTGAACTCGTGTTACAACTTTGCATTCGTGTGACATGAAAATTGCACTCGCTTAAAGCCAATCAGAAGCGCTTAATTTTTATATATACGTCATTAGCACTTTTACTAATTTTTAGTTTAGCGCTTTCTTAAATTTTTGACCACACGTATCATTTCTTTCATGAGCGATTATTTTGCAATTTGCGAACGTATACGCCTAACTTTTCAAATAATCTTCAAAAAACTTTTAGGACGTCATTCAAGTTGTTGAGAAGAAGTGGCACAGGTGGCAGGAAGAGGAAAAATTGGTGAGAAACAGTCTACTTTCACACGCAGTGAGTCAGCTTCATAAACCACTATTCCAGGAGTACATAAAGGCAAGTATCCAGCTGACTTGGGGAATGGTTACCCAGACACCACCACTTAGGTTAGAGTATCAATCCTTGTACCTACAACAATGCCATAAGAAGATGGGTTGTTATATGAGTCCTGAGGTACGTACGTTGGTGAAAGGAATCCCTGACCAACATCAGGAAGAGGAGATAGCGTGTTATCTTTGGCCGGGACTGTTTGATGGTGAAGGAAGATGTATTCGAAAAGGAGAAGTCTTTTGTAGGATAAAAGGGAATACTGAGTAAGCTTCATTTGAATTTCTACGCTCAACAACTAAAGCAAAAGCTTATGTGTATTTTGGAAACTGCTTTAATGTTAAAAATCCTGTTAAATATTTTTTATTTGTGCCATGCTCCAATTGTAAATGACGGGCATGAATCAGGTCGATTCATGATCGAAATAAGTGGGTTTTCTGACGTGAAACGACCTCTTATATTTAGTGTTACCTGTGACGTTATTAGAGAAAGAAGGACCTCTGAAAAATAAATAATAACAGATGGAATAGAATGTAGGCGGTTAACAATGAGTATTCTGTTTGTTTATGCACGCACTATTTTATTTTGTCTACAAGTCAAAACATTAAAATGTCTTTACATGGACATTTTTCCTTATTGATGTTGAACGAGAGCATTTGCTCAGAAACTAAATTGCTTCTATATTGAGTTGTTAAAGCTTGTTTTAGAGTTTGGGTGGTCAAACTAATGAAATAGAGAAAACTGTTCTTAAGATTGTCCCTAGTTTAGCATCCATAATTCAACATCCATCTTGAAGGCAAAAGCTTTCCTTGCAATTGTTCTTGAGAAAGTGTTTAAATATTGAGTAATTGCACGTCTATGGAATTCGTTTTTGGAAATATATAAATGCTTAGGTTATGATCATGGTCTGATTATTGTTTTAGATCCGTTTTAGATCTCCGTCTATTTTGTTACAGAAAAAAATTTACGCATGATCGAAAGAAAAAGTCCCAAGGTGGTTTGGGCGCTATTTGTACTTGAAACATCAGAGGCAGTGACGGTTATTTCAGTTCCTCCGAAATATATACTGACTTCAAGTTTTCTGTCTTTACCTCTCCATGTATCTGGGGACTGAACTTTGACACTTCAATCTTTGTTACCTCGGGGTCAGTAACAAACTGTGCTTTGAGATTACTTGTGACGTAGTATCCAAATTTCAGGCTTTTTGCATTAGTTCGAACAGGGTGATAGGTTCTTGTTATTCGCTCTCCGAGCTTTACTACGCTGTTTTCCCTTACAAAGCATTTAAATAATTGACCGCATTTTTCAATACCATCTGTAATAAATTTATTTTCTTCAGGATGAACCCCTTCAATAAAATCTATTGAACGATCGGCGCCAAAAGTTGCGGAGACGACTCTTTCGGATATTTTCACAGGTTTTTTTCCAAAGTTTACAGCTCCTTGAACAACTGCTATGGTTGTATAATGAGGAATAAGTATCCTTAGCCTTCTTGAGAACTCTGTTTTTAATTCTTGTTGTAAGAAAGCAGAATAAGCAAAGCCGCCAGCAAGGAACATGGTTCGCACCTTTGATAGTTGCGGTTTTTTCATCAAAGTTTTAAATGTTGTTTAATTCTCTCCACGAGAGGGTTAAACAATTTCTTCATCATTCCTGAACTTAAGCAAAGATACTCTTCATTTTTCAGTCTTACGTCCTTAGTTTCACAGCTGTCCATCACCGAACTTTGAGTTTCATTTAACATGGATACAAAGCTTCTTAGTAAACTGATGTTTGTCCTGGCTGTCGTCTTCCCACGTTCCTTTCCTTCAAACTCGTTCATTAACGACAGCCAATCAGATGAATGTTGCTTTGTGAACTTTCTTCTAAAAGATTCTCAAACTGCTGGTTGACGTACATTCCACCATAAGGTCCCCCTGTGGATCTCTTTAATGTTACCATTATGCATTTCGTGCACTGTGACATGTAATGTCCCCATTGTGATAAAAAAATGAAAGTCAGTTGATATATACTAACTTTATATCCTACCATGGTTAATCATTTTGCGATTACTCTACATCGCAGATATATCATTGACTTCACGAGACAGCCAATAACTTTCTTGGTGATCCCTAATATTTTTACTTTAAGGATTTTTACGCTTTGAAACGAGAGTTGTACTTAAAAAAGGGGTTGGTTCCAACCGCGATGATAATAATAGTAATAGTAATGATAATAGTAGCAATAATGATACCGAAAATATAATGATAATAACACTAATACGATCACTAACAAAAATGATGCTAATGGTTCGCATGCTAACATCAATGATTAAAAAAACACAGCCTAAGAGATTACTTATTTACTACTAAGATTTCAATAATCACCTCTGAATTTAATTTTACCAAACAACCTATTCAATAAAGCGTCAGTGGCGTTTAAAAAGTTCCCTTCTAAGGATAATATAATTGTCCAATAGCACTGACATTGAGTAACGACAAACATATTGGCAAAGAATGGTCGTTACTTTGAGTCGATAAAAGTATATATGAACTGACTTTCATTTGGCCGCTGGCAAGGAACATGGTTTGCACCTTTGATAGTTGCGGTTTTTTCATCAATGACGCAAGCGATGAGAGAAAATACAACTCTGAAGACGACAAAAGATGCTACTAAGTTTGGTGTAACACTTTTCCAAATAAATATAGGAACTTTTTGAATTGAATGAACCTGTTAAATTCTAGTGTAAACTGGCTGCTTATCGTGATACGAGTAACAAAAACAATTGTAACAGAATGGTTTCAATATTAAAACGAATTTACCGCAGAATTCGAAAGCACCTGAGCAATTATACCAAAACAATTATACCAAAGCAATTATTCCGCCTGAAAATCACGGAAATTTTTCTCTTGACAGAAAATTGCAGCCGCTTCTGGCTCCAAAGCGATCATCAGTTGATTGGGATTCTCTGGTGATCCCACACCAGCCTTTAAAAAAGACTTTTTAATTTAGATAGAAAACCTAAAACAAACCTGAAAGGTGTCGTTAAGTCGATGAAAATAAGCATGCGCCTTTAAATGTTATGATGATGTTTGCCATAAGATTGGCACACCTAAACAGACATATAAAGTTGTGAGCACGCCCAGATTTCAAGATTTGGGGGCATTCATTTCGAACTGGATGAGACATGATAAGCTGCTTCTCTCATAAACTGCTTTGCACTCGGATTCCATATTGCCGGAACAGTTAGAACCCATTTGACATCGTCTGGACTGAAATGATCATCTCCTGTCCGCTGACAGATTACTTTGATGGCTTCGTCTTTGAGAAACTTAATGGACTTGGCGATCACTGTCTTGGCCTTGACAGGTTGTCCGTTAGCTGCTTCTGTTAGAGTCTTACTGTCAAGACTCTAGAAGAGAATGAACCCAGCGTTTAAAGGAAAATATGTCGCAACATTTTTTTGCAATCACCTTAACAAAGAAGCGATTCTAAGAAACTTTAGATGAACCAAAATATTTAAGGATGACGAAGATAAACGCGTATAATACGATTAAAGATGACGGAATTGAAATTTTAGACTAATGCTTTCGCCATGATAAAGTCCTCCAAGATGAGCAAGTGTACGGTTGAACCTGACGGCCATGATGGACTAATGGTCTATCAGGGCTAAGGTCGAGCTAGTGCTTCTTACGCTGGCATTAAATAAGCATTTTGTAAACGTTTTTGTGGAAATCAATGAGATGGCACGATATGTTCAATACTTTGTTCAATAATTAATTAAAAAAGTAAAAAAAGAAAAACAATATTCTTTCGAGCAACAACTCTCGGGCTGGACGGTTGGTAAGTCTGGATGTTAAGACAAAGCTCTTTTTGTGTGCTCGCTTTTCTTTTCTAGAACGTGAACAGCATCACTGAGATATTACAGGCGCCGTGGTTTGTCAAAAACCGTTTATTGCACCGGCTAACCCATATTATTAAAAGAATATTAAAGTCTTTCATATTCATGAAAGCAGTGGAAATAGACCGGCATCCAGCTCGCGATTCACATACAATCCTCGTGTTTTCCCAACATCCTGCATGGGTAATCACGCCCTAAGCCGAAAGGGAAGGGCGGTCTATGTCTTCATTAGTTTGTCTTTGAAACTGATCAGTGGGGCTCATTCTTATCTCCTCATTGTGAAGAGTCATTTTAAAATGCTTGAAAAAGAGATAATCTTTCTCTTCTCTTTCATCTTCAGAAGACTGCTGTACTTTTCCATCGCCTCATAACCAAATAAGTCAAATGACAGATCTGTTTTGAGTAGCAAGCATGTTGGGTTTTTTCTTGTTTGAGCGGCTTGTTCATTCGCCCAGTCTCTGTTCATGAAGATAGCGTCCTTTCCCTCATCTTTGATAAATGAAAAAGCAAATCCACCATAGGTTGTTCCGAAATCAATGGTAACAACTGCCAGATATGAACGCCTCGAAGTATAAAGGAGTGAGCCTTCTAGTGCTGTAAGAGATTAAAACGACAATTTTATCTCTTACTAACCGATTTCGAGAACCGTACTGTACGTTACGGACCGAGTTTTATGGCCCGTGCGCTTCGTGCATTGGCCGTAAATCGGACGGAAAAAGAAGCTCCGTAACTTACAGTACAAACCGAGAAAAACGAGAGACAACATTTTATTGGCTTCCAATGAAAACTGAAGTTGAGTCGTCAAAAGCTCATGATATTCGTTTAATACCCATAACTCTCAATAATGCAAAATTACATAAAAAAGAACAGGTCAAGTATACAAAGGTTTTCAGCAAGGAACTGTGATACAAAGTTCTGTTGGTAACTCCAGATATTTTGTCGAGAGGTTTTCAAATGCCTGAAATCTGCAGGGAACAACGCGTTTCTTCGTAGAAATGGCGTAGAAAGTGTGAACTAACGGCTAACTTTGTTCAATATCGACGTCAAATGGATGAATGAATTTCATCGATGCGATAGAAAACTGTACAAGGATCTGGTGTTTTTATAGAAGCTGCTAGGTGCACTCAATGCAGACCGAACAGGATTAAAGACAGGTTGAAATTGGCTTTTGGCTGCAAACGAAAAAAAATCGATAGCCATAAAGAACGACAAATAGAAAATGTTATTTGAAGTTTTTCCTTGAGTCTGATACCATAATAATAGTTTGGAATGTCTCGGTCTTTGAAGGTGGCGTGACGAGGAAAAGGATCAGTTGGATTCACAGCGTTTTAAAATATGAATTCTTTGAATGACTAAGATCTCTCTGGGCGATCGAAGCGATCTAGCGTTGCGAAATTTCCTTGTTTACTTGTTATTGAGTTAAAGCGTGTGACAGCGTCAGCGACTATAGCTTTTTAGACGGGCTAACTCGTCAAAGGCTTTCTTTCTATAATCTTTTTTTTTTTAACGAAATAATGATGAAAAAAAAAAACTAGTAAATAAAGTGAAAGCCATTCAGCAGGTAAAATAATTCTTGGACGTAAAAATTAACATTAATAATAATTTCTCTTCAGTATCAAAGCTACATCTTATCAAAATTCTATTCAGAATAAACAATGCACACAACTTCGTGATTTATCTCGGAAAACGGCCGAGTTATCTGTGCCAAGGATCAATTACCTATTGGTGAATGCAGGGAAAGGTCAGGTTGACGTAAGCTCCCACGAATTCTTGGGAAAGCACTCAAGCTAAGAGAAGATAATATCTTCCATAATCCCTGTGAGGATTACCGGAACAAAATCTGGCAGACTGGAAACTTTGGGCTAGCGGCTCGAAAATTATCACGGTGAGGGACTGATGTAAGGGCTCGAACGGCAAAGGTTAGCTTCAAAATAAACACGAAATACAAGTACACGTACAGAACCAACTGAAATTTTCGAGTTTAAAAGGAAGAAGGCGAGCCGGGAATGGAAATCAATCTAAACTAAATTTTAGTTCATGCGAGATTCTCTATTCCAGAGCCTTAATCACTTAAGTGTCACAAGGATGTTAAACTAGTAGTATCTTTACTATGGATGATAAGTACAAAATAAATATAACAGATAATGTGCATTTTTACAGAATGAAGAAACTAGTAGAATAGGTCTTATTGTTTGGAAGCTTTGAGGTTTTCATCAAATGTTGACTTAAAGTTCGTTATGTAGACAGCTTCATAAAAATTTAGCTGTGATGAACTTGGCGAACTGAGTATGAAGGATAACTCGCTCATCCTACAATCGGCAAGGATCTTAATTTATCCTTAATTTATACGAGCTAGATGTCTATGGCCTCAGTTTTGATATGCAAGTTAAGTAAGCTGCTTTTAAAAATCAAGAAGAGTAGGGACAAAATTAAAGATCATTATTTACTAGCGAAATACCGACGTAAGTACCTTAAAAACCTTCCGCCTAAAATCTAAAACGATTCAATACTAATGTAGTCTTCCACAATCATTTTTATAGAATAGTAATTTTGAGATAGTAGCGAGACTCGATATCCACTGAAAGAATAATTTAAAATCCTTTGTTGCTGCTTACAATTGCAAGTAGTACTAATTTTCGTATCAACATATAAATGAATAACAATCGTATTTGTTACGTATCACAAAAAATTCATCGGTTAATGGAAGAAACATTTGTTTAAGTCAAATAACAAATTTACAGGTAGTTTGGAGGGACCAGTGTTACCACTGGTAAACCCATACTTTAATTTCTAAAGTCATTCTCTGACACAAACTTCTGCAATTGTTTACAATTGTTGATCAATTAAAAATGCCTAAATCTACTAACTGCTGGCTAGAAAGTCTAGATGAACCGTGGATTGTCGGTTGCTAGTACGATTAACAGCCGTGACCTTTATCTCAGTTCCACCAAAGAGCAAATGTATCTCAATATCTTTCGTTTTCCATGCCTCTGGTGTTTCAATCACTAATCCACGACCGGGGGCCTTGCGCACCTCAGGATCTGTAACAAACTCCGCATCTGGACATTCTGATTGGTAGAAATCGAGCTTCACTTGTTTCTCTCCGCCTGTCAAAGGGGCAAAACTAGTGAATTGACGTTTTTCTCCAACTTTAACCACCTCATCGACTTTAACAAACTTAAAAAACACATCTTTACAGCGTGGGATTCCAGATATTATTTCCTTTTTCGATTCAGGATGTAACCCGTCTAGGAAGAGCCTATGTACACGGATGCCATAGGTGGTAGCCATTATTCTGGACTCGAAAGTGTTAGGTTTCTGTCCAAACATCACAGCACCTTGGACAACTGCAAGGGATGCGCAGTGCGGTATTAAGATGCGATAGGCATGGCCAAAATGCCCCTTGATTCTTTCCTGTAAAACAGCTGAGTCAGAAAAACCGCCTACGAGGAGTGCAAACTTGACCTCAGACAATTCTGGTTTGGCGAGAAGGTTGGATAGGTGGGAAATGATGTCATCCAAGACTTGAACAGCTGCCTTATGACTTTTGGTTCAAGGCAGAGGTACTCGTTACGAAGGACTTTTATTTCATCCAGGCTGTAATGCTGCTGAATGGCTGTGTTAATATCGCAACCTCTCTGGCTGAGAAATTTACTCAAGAAACTACCAGGCAACCGGATTCGTGTTGTCCCCCCTTCACAGATACGTTTTCCGCGTTTCTTTACTTCGAAATCATTCATGAGACAGAGCCAATCCACCGGATTGTGACAGGCATAATTATCAAGGAAGGATTTGGTGAAAATTTGTTCAAGAAGGATCCTGAACTGTCTGTTGACATTCTGTCCTCCAAACGTACCTCCTGTGGCTTTATAAAGCTCTCGGATTGCACCGTTTTCCATAAGTTCATGAACAGTCACATCAAGAGTTCCGCCTACATGAATACAAGAGTCAAGATATTTTAGAATAACGTTCTGGCTCCGGTTGTTCGAAAGTTGGATAACGCCATCCACTAGATTAAACTCTATACGGTGGATAACGCGATACGTTTTGCTATCACTTATCCACTGGATAGCAATTTATCCGTTTAATAGCATTATCCGACCCTTATATAACTGGGCCCTGCACATTTGTTATAACAGAAAACATTTCATGAAAATGATAGAAAATTGATCACTTAAAAAATGAGGTGTCTAGCTTTAAATGTGCTGACTATTTCTGGCGGCGGTAAATGGAAAAAAGTAAAAAAACTAAAATAAAGCATTTAACCGCACAAGGTCCAGATGTTTTTGTTCAAGTCAAGAGTTTCCAATGGAACAATTTGCTACTAGAAAAATTGAATTTACCTCCAATGTCAATTACCATGTACTGTGTTTCTGGTCGGGCGATGGTGTCCTCAACTGAGGCGTCGTTGCTACCACTCTCAGAAACAAACTCTCTCACCTTTTGCTCTCTACAGTAGACGGAGGCCGCCTCTGGCTCCAAAGCGATCAGTATCTGCTCTGGGTTGGAGGGATGTGCCAGCCCTGCCTAAGATAAAAGTACAAGCACTGGATGTCAGGATAGTCAATGAAGATGATGTTACAAAGACTTATTGCAGAAAATGGATGTAGGAAAGAAGTATTTTAGCCCAGTTTTTCCTTGTTGCGCTTTTGCGACTTCGTAGAGCGAGCCCTAACCAAGCAGACTGGTTCAGTAATGTTTCACCATTTTCTTCTCGTATGGTGCAAGAATTTGCATTCTTCAAAGCAACAGCTTTACCCTTCTTTGCGTTGGCAATTTGAAAGTTAGTCAATAATACTGATCATTACACGAATTTGTTGATGTTTGAAATGTGTATATCATGACAGCTCACTTGATAAGCAGCCTCTCTCATGAATTGTTTCGCCGCTGGTTTCCATATTGCTGGGACGGTCAAGACCCATTGCACATCATTTCCTCCGAAGTCTTCGTCACCAGTTCTCTCCTTAATCACCTCTAGTGCCCGTGTGTAAAGATATTTTATGGAATATTTAAAAACATCCAAGGCCCTCATGTGCCTACCATTCGCTGCCTCTACAGTGGTGTTCATATTCAAGCTCTGTAAGGACAAAAACCACGTTTGTTTCAAAAGTTTATTAGTTTTATGTTTGCAGTAAGTTTCTGCGCTCTCATTCAGTTCGGAATTAATAACCATTAAAAAATATTAGAAGTATCTGTTTATTAACATTTCTGAAAAAAGTACAAAACTTGAAAAGCACCAAATTTTGAGGAAAACCAAATAACCTTTAAATTGACCTAAGCTTTGATATAATAGCTTGGCTTTACCCTGATCTCCTTCAAAGTTAATAAACAAATTGCCAACATTTATCAGAATAACACAGCTTCTTTCTTCCATACCAGAATCGACTAATGTTTATTAACATAAAATCCTTCGAAGATTTACCAATATTTCTTCTAAATAAGGAAGTTTCATATATTTGAAAAAAAAAAAAAAAAAGAATTTTTCTCTCACCTCATTGTTATGAAGAATCATTTTAAAGCAATCAAAGTAAAAATATTGACGAGCTTCCTCTTCCTCCAAATCAGCAAATTTATCTTTGGCTTCATAGTCAAACGAATTGAAACTCTGGTCTGGATTGAGTAACAAACATGTAGGTGTCTTCATAGTGGAGTAGCCTTGGTCACTTCCCCATTCTTTATTCATGTGAATACTTTTTTCTCCATCTTTGTTATTGAACGCAAATGCAAACCCACTAAACGTTGTGCCAAAGTCAATTGCTACCACAGCGATGAATGTAACAGGAGCGGAGAGGAAAAGTTCACCTCCCTCTTGATCGTCTGTTGAACGATAATTATAGTCAACAATTAAATAATTAAATAGACACATGCTCCAGAAAGAAATGTCAAATAGATGAGAGAGGCAGAAGATGACATAAAACTTTGACTGAAAGGAATGGAAAGTAATAAACGTGGTTTCAGCACATGTATTTTCAATTAGTAGATAAGCAGAATTCTATTCAGCAGTTGATTTGATGTTATCCGAATCGTAGAAAGCTTCAACGCTTGAAATATGTCATCATCGCAAAGCTAAAATTTGCAGAAGAAATCCGCGAATGCCGAAAAGTCATCGACTTCTTAATATCATCGTTTTTGGAGAATGCCAAGTTTGAAGAAAATCGAACTCCATTTTTATATTTAGTCATAAATGAGACGAATCAATGAGGTCTTGTTTTCGCCTTCAAAAACTATATGGTCCATTTAATACTAAGGATGTTTACTTGAGCGACTTTCAATTCTGTTTTCGATTTCATGAACTTATGTAGTGGTCGGTCGCCATTGGTTATTCATTGTCAACTCACCTTCCGAGGTTCTTTGCATCTTGAAGAGAGCTCTTGTTCATCGTACATGAAGATTTTTAGTAGAAACCACACAGCGGTGAAATAATCGCCTTCTAGGAAACTAGGTCATTACTATGTTTTATAAGGGATTTTGTCCCTTTCTTGGATAGATTACGTCATAATTATAATGGCCTCAAAGATAACGATTTCTTTCAATAAGAGAGATCAGACGCTGTTGAAATCAATGTGAAGGACCGTGTGGTATATGAATTATGGCGTATATTCGATTGGACTTTCGTCTGTTTTAACCTTTTGACAAGTTGTATGTTATGCTCAGCTTAAAAATCGTTTTTCAAAATTTTAAAATAAAAATAAATGAACAAATAAATAGTAATAAGTACATGGCACTTCCGGTTTTTCTCAGAAATCTTGTAAATTCTCCCAGCGGTTTGGGCCATTTTCAAGTTCTCACTGAGGCACGAGAACGAGGCAAAGTACGAATTAAGAGTCATGGTATTTCAGCATGAGATCTCTCAATCGTGGAAAATGGCCTATTGATTTAGGTTATCAACCCTCTGCATGTGCAAGAACTCGATATTTTTAATCTTTGCTCTTTATTCGCTGTATTGTGACAATGACAGATACACAATCCCCCACTACCGAATCAGAAACGACGATCGACGACGCTGGAGCTCGTTCAAGGAGGTCGTTAATCGCTGTGTCAATAGCTAATCGCGATGTCTTCTCCAATTTGCCGGAAAGGATTGAGCAGTGGCTTGAGAAGAAAACAAGGGCTACAAATCAACCCGAAGCGACCGAACACGGGTACGTAAGACAACATTGACGAATGAATCGAGCATTAGAATATACCGTGCAGATATCTTGCCTTAAATTTTCACACATCTCCAAGTTTAATGTCACATAGTTAAATATAATACATAACTAAGTGTCTGGTGTTAACGAGACAACTTCATTAGCAGATTTTTCCTCGTTAAGCAGAAGAGATGAGTCAGACAGATTAGCACGATCAGACACGAAAAAGCAACTGGAATGTTTTCAAGCAGAAATAAACGCGAATACTCAAAGGTAAGTCGGGTTTTGATACACATGTCACTTGTACACTGTTACGTGTGAGCTTCCATATGACGGGGGTAGGGTCAGGCATATGTGTTTAGGGAGAAACTAAAGATAATCAAGAGCCACTGACCATGAGCAGATATCTAGAATTTTCCTAAAGGACCCTTTTAATGAACCTTTTTCAAAATTATATCGAAAAGTTCAATTGCGCTTTGCATTCTGAAAAATTGAAAATAATGTACCTCACAACGCAATACATTCCCTAAAGATCATTTCAATAATTTACTAGATCTGACGTACCGACATGACGTAATCCGGACAAGAGTTGTTTGCGGTTAATTAAGCGATAATTCAATGAATCACACAAAACTTGACACGCATTCGTATTCATAGCAAACCTCACATGTACCTGTCGGTGGAATGTTGATATTTGTAGTCAGTGCTTTGTCAGTGCTCTTCAAACGTGATTCGGTCTGGCATCAACGATTTAATCGCTCTGCTGTCTCCGGAAAAAAAATACATTTTGGTGTTAACCATCTGTTAAGGACGATTTCACGGGCGAATTCGATACGATAAACGGTAGGCAAACGTTAACCTTTTATCTGATGTATTTACGACATCGTAACGATAATTCGAGATTAGAGATTCAGCCGTGTTGGTAATTAATTCGAAAAAGTCAATTTCGATCCTGTAAGGCAAAAATAACTTCACGAACATATCATGTGAAATTGTCACGATAAAGTTTCGAGCTGAACATTATTATGGACATTAGAAAGGTTTGTAATTGGTGACTTCCGTAAAGGCTAATTTGATTAATTCTTGGGAGAGTGTGGTTTTAGTCCTGAGGATCCTTTCAAATTGGAATTCACAAAGGGAAGCCGCGATGGACATAGCAGAAACAATTAAGGCCTAGAAAAGACAAAGTTTTGAAACTGGTAGTTACATGGTTTTTCCCGTCCACATTTTTTCCTCAATAAGATAAACTAACTGTTTTTTCAAAGGATGTGAACCGAGATCACGTTAAAATAAATGAATGCCATTATGAACATCATCCCTGACGTAATAAAAACCAAAATTACGTTATGTCGCGATCGTTTACTTGTAGTAAGTATTCTTCGGTCACCCTGCGATGAACTAAGGAGTAGCTACTGATAGATTCAGTCGACGGAAACAGCGATAAGTTCCGGTAGTGTGGGCCTCTTGGCTCGAGTTTGAACCTTACATATTGTCATTGATGTAGATGATAGTAATAATAATGGGCGAAGACTGTATTATTATTCTCATCATTATCATTGCCATGATAATAACGTTCAATATGTTAATTTATCTTATTTTTTTAATCATCAAATATCAATTTTGAATAAGTGTTAGCGTTCTTTACAGTTTAGCGACCCTGGACCAAACTGTCAGAGAGATGACTGCAGCACTTGAGGCTATGAAAAGCGTGCACAGCTCAATGGTGTTTAGCATAGACAGCTTTATCCGATTTCGCATTTCGTATATTTTTATGGTGATTCTTAAAAAACTGTTAGAACCGCAAATCACATTGCAGGTTTTCTAGCACGTATATCCTTCCGTATACAAATATATATATATATATATATATATATATATATATATATATATATATATATATATATATATATATATATACATAGTTTTACTTAATAGTCAGAAGCAGATACCGAAAGAAAGTAGTTACGTTCAACCATCGCCGCAGAAAAGTCTGACACTTGATTCTGGTAGAGAAAGATCTCCTGATCAACGTGTGGTAGTTCGTAGGCTTGAATTGAACAGGAAACGAGGCTGAGATCTAAATTGACCGTTTTGCTCCCAATGGACGAGCAAATGCGACTAAAAAATGATGGAAATTTCACAGCAAAGTAAGTAGATGTGAAATATGTGACAAGATGACGATGAGAAACGTCACGTGATTGTCAACGTCGGCATTTGTGTCTTATTCTAGTAGAAATATCAAGAAGGTAGCTACCTTATTACTATTACCTCAGTAAATTGATCTTATTTGCATCTGGAATTTCAATGTCTTTTTAAGCTTGTTGGATCAGAATTGAAAACGAGGCGATACAATATAAAGAGAGATGTATCTTTGGCAAAATGTTAATAAGACACAAACATAAAAATAGATTGAAAACGAAAGGAATTGCAATCTGCATTAAAAACGACATTGTTAAATATGAAAAGTATGTTTCGATACTATTGATACCATCCTCAATGGCAAAAGGGTCTCAATGAGACAGGATAGTTTTGTAAACGGTTAATCAGATTGTTACGTTAGTATCTCGTGTATTTTTAGGATTCTCTTTCATTCGATTGTTACGTTAGTATATGGCGCACTTTAAGGATTCTTTTTCATTAGATTGTTACGTTAGTATATCGCACACTTTTAGGATTCTTTTTCATTAAATTGTTACGTTAGTATCTCGTACACTTTTAGGATTCTCTCTCATTCGATTGTTACGTTAGTATCTCGCGCACATTTATAATTCTCTCTCATTAAATTGTTACTTTAGATTATCATATAAACTGCGGTGTTATACAAGGATTTCCAGCCCAGCGAAAAAGAATTACCATATTTTTTAAGTGTGATTGATGTCGTAAATCAGCTGCCGACACGTTACTCGTCTTAGGCGCCACCCGCTCAGGTTGATGAAAGAAGGGCAAAGCCTTCAACATTCCACTCAATCCTTGATTGTTTGTAATGCGAAAACCCTGGTGCTAAATGTCTCTATTATACCACTAGAAGCAAGTGTCAGACCTTTTCTTTAGCGATAGTTAAACGATTGAAACTTTTTTATTTCCGTATCTGCTTCCTCACGCTATGTTATTAGGTACGTGGAGCGAGAATTGAAGGAAAAGGAAGATACAATAGAGGCAAACAAAGAACAGTTAAAACTGGTGGAAGAGGAGTGAGAACACCTAAATTTATATCCTACTAAGTAAAATAGCCACTTTTAGGATCTATAAAATTGGCCTCTAAACTGCCATGGTTATTGTTCCTCAAAACCAGCACTCCTAAGACTCATTTAACTGCTACTTACTTGTGGATCTCCATAAATAGGAGACTATGATCACCCATTTGGCCGACAAAATTTGTTCATGACGGTAACCGTAGTTCCCACTTTCGTACATCTAGTTTGTAAGTAGCCTTGGTTATCTGCTTATTACGCATGGAAGCCAAAGAAGTAAATAAAAAAGTTTGTTGTACTCTCCGTCTCCACTGAGATAAGAAGTTCTGTGCTTCAAAAGAAGAGCAAAGATATGCCAAAGG